CAGGGGAATCATCATGGAGGGCGGTGAGAACCTTGTAGGGGGCGAGTGCGGTATAGGGGTGCTGGCTACCTTGAATCGCGAGGAGGAGGGTGGGGTTTGCGGGGTCCACACCTCTTGGCCAGCTGGGCCCCTGCCGCGGGGGTGGCAGGGGGGAGGGGTGCCTTGAGCGACAGTGACAGGGGAATCATCATGGAGGGCGGTGAGAACCTTGTAGGGGGCGAGTGCGGTATAGGGGTGCTGTTTACATTGAATTGCGAGAAGGCGGGTGGGGTTTGCGGGGTCCACACCTCTTGGCGAGCTGGTATGCGCCCCTGCCGCGGGTGGCATGGGGGCAGGGGTGCATTGAGGGACAGTGGCAGGGGAATCATCATGGAGGGCGGTGAGAACGCCCCTGCCGCGGGTGGCATGGGGGCAGGGGTGCGTTGAGGGACAGTGGCAGGGGAATCATCATGGAGGGCGGTGAGAACCTTGTAGGGGGCGAGTGCGGTGTAGGGGTGCTGTCTACCCTGAATTGCAAGGAGGCGGATGCGGTTTGCAGGGTCCACTCCTCTTGGCCGGCTGGTATGGACCCCTGCCGCGGGTGGCAGGGTATCCAGGGCTTAGAGAAATGGGCTAGAACTAGATCAGACGAACCTGTGGCTATTCGAGTATACACCATTAGGCAGAATGCAGAGATTAGAAGTGCAGAGCTGTTCTCAATGATGGAGACAATGTGACCTGCCCTTAAAGGACTGAGACTGGACAGCGGGGCCAGTTGAGGACCGGAAACAGCAGGGGAGCCGTCGAGGACCGGAGACTAGAGCAATGCTGACTGATGCCAAGGGTTTACAGTGCAGTGGAGCGAGGGCTGACTAATGCGGACAATTTGCAGTGCAGGCAGATGAAAAAAAATCAATCAAATTCAATCGTATATCAGATTACATAGCTGTGAAGTCTATACAGAACCATGCTGATCTCCACAACTAGGCTGAATACAAATGTGGTAGGTAGGAGGGATGTGCTTAGAGTAGGGCTATCAGAGGTTAGACCTTGGCCTGATGGCCCCCATACACTGCCCAGGGTAGCTTGAAGGGTTTCCTAAGCATGGAAGTGCTTAGAGTAGGGCTATCATTGGTGACACCTTGGCCTGATGGCCATAGACATGGCCTGGCGTATGTTGAAGGGATTTCCCAAGCGCGGACCCTTGGATGAGGGGGACACTCTAGGCGCTACTCATGGGGCTGCTATTAATAGATTCACGCCTAGCTCCCGAGGTACCTGTGCAATGACGATGCTCGTGTGACAATACCTCAACCAGGGCTGAAAGGGGGTTTCCAGTCAGAGCTGGTGCCCATGACGGCTGTCTAGTCAGGTCACTCAATCAGAGAGTGGTGCTCCTCAATATGAGGTAGAATAGAAGGGGAGTGGCGGTGTGCCAGGGAATGTCGAGAGGTGGAATGGGTGGGCCCTTGTGAGGGACGAGTGCTTGCTATAGGAGCAGTGACAACCTGTGGGAAAAGCTCTCTCATCTACCATCCCCCAAAGGTAGTGAGTCCATCCCCCCTTAGTGCTTAGTGCCCCTTAGTGTCATGGCAATCCCATACGGGCATGCGCACGTTTGGACATCTCTGGTTGCACCAGATGGCGATTCCTGTAATATTCTGTCCATGAAGTCTTAGTATGTGTCATCCTTGCTGGAACTGAATAGGTTGCTGAATCATGATTGTGACAAATGAAATGAATGCGAAAAAAGAAAAAAAAAAACACGATAAAGAATAAATCGAATGAGATGAATGCTGCGTCTCCTGTAGTCTAACACTTGCCAATCGAATCGATGCACTGCGAAGAGGCTCTGATCGTAGCTGAGGACCTGTGTGAAAAAGAGAGCAACCATATCCGTTCTACCCAGGGCGGGGATCCAATCCACAATATTATTGTTCCGGACTTGACCGTGTGAGGCTGTGACGGTAAGCACAATGTTAAGTGCTCCTGGATGCACACACACTCACACACCAGCAAATAGGTGGAAGGAGTCAAATCAAGTATGCCCACACCTGAGAGAGAGAGAGAGAGAGAGAGAGAGAGAGAGAGAGAGAGA